GGTTGCAACAACCTTTATTATTATTGCTTGCCACATGTTGCCCATACTTATAACGTTGCAACAGCGCCTGCCACAACAACAAAAGCAGCAATAACGACAACAACAACCACATTGCAAGCACTTTGCATAAATACAATATAATGTTGAAATACTGACTGTACTTAAAATGCAATGCAATGTGCATGTAAGTGGAGCGGGTAGGCAAAATCAAGCGTTCAGCCATCATGCAACATGTTGCATGTGCTGGTGGCAGCTAAATGCACACAGTACTGTGCAACGTTGCAGAAACTTCCGGGATTGGAAATGCGCTTTTCTTTGAAGCCCTCCACAAATTTTCACATGTTGCGTGGGCGCTTAGCCAAAAGCCAAGACCACAATTGTTGCTCATTTAAAAATTTTATTTCCTAATTAATAATTAAACATTTGATGTTTAAAATTGATTTAAAAATTGTATTTCTTGATTAATAATTAAACACTTGATGTTGTGGCAAATTGCTAGAATTTAAACAATGATCATGATCTATTTCATACCGTTTCTGCAATAAATGGAAAACCTAAGAAAAGCAATAAAGCTTGTGGCTAATAGGAACAGCATAGAATGTTTTCAGTTAAATCTTTCAGAGTATAAAAAGCAGACGAGTTGAACAAAATAGATCAATAGATCAAAATAGATTTCTTGTTGTTACACCCTGTATCCGTAGGTTTGTGCAAAGTATGTAACTTGAAGAGGGAGCATCTCCGACCCCATATTCTGAATCAGCATGACGAGAGAAATCGATCTAGACATGTCCGTCCGTCCGTATGTTCGTTCGTCTGTCCGTCCGTCTAAATAAAATTTACAACAGGCTGAAACTTCTGTTTCAATATAATTTTTTAAATTTTCTTTCAATTATGCTTTCGACATATGACTGTATTTCAATTAATTGGATTCAATGATATCGTGAAATTTTTCTTTATAATGGGGATCATCTAAAATTTTTTACTTTCGCCTGTCATCCCACCTTAGCTATGACATCGCTTATACACATAAACTCAAACCAAATCTTTTGATCTTTAGTAGGTTTTCCATTTTCTACAAAAGTGTCGTTCCAACTTTATTCTAACACAGACCACCTTGATACCCTAAAGAATACATGAAATTGTAAGCACTTTAATTTACCACTTTTAACATTAGAAATATGCAATGCCTCTTAAATTAGAAATGCAGCACATTTCAACAGTAATATGTTTGCATTTCGACTAACCCATAAATCAATTAAAAATTGAGTGCTCTGTGAATGCAGTACACTTGGCAGCTCAGACAGCAGGGTTCACAGTTGGCCTGTGTGGAGAAAATTAAAAATTTAAATTGACATTTTGGCACAAAAAAGCGCAGAGCAGAAAATGGTTGAATAATTTATGCACATACATACATATGTATGTATGTATGGCTGGATGGCGTGTATACATACACGTATCGATAACATCAAAGACTAAATGTGAAATGAGAATTGTTGCCAAAAAGTCAAACTCTGTGTGTGAATCAAAAACATTCATTAAGCATTGATTTAATTAATTATATACATATATGTATGTACGTGTGCAATGTATCTACATACTTACAGTATGTGTGTGACTAATGTGACACGTGTCGCAATTATCCCTCTTTGACATTTTCTTGTCAAATCCTAGGCATAGACAGCAATCGAGAAATGAATCACAGTTACATACAGTGACTGGGTCAAAACAGCTGTATGCCAGGCTTAAAGCAACAGACGGTAAAATGCTAGTCTGTGTTGCCAATACTCGTACAGCGGACTTTTCTTATCTTTGGTGACTCACGGGTCTGGGAATTCGAAATGCCTTTCGGCAAACAGCCGACATATTAATAAAAGCGCACAGGGTCACCAAATGGAGTGAGAGAAAGGGAAACAGTTCAACGAAGAAAGATGGAATGGGGGAATAGAGTAGGAATTAGCACGACAAAAGATGGGACCATGACGCATAATGAAAGTAGGCGCGAAGTTCGCCTCGCACCAATCCAGACAGTGCACATTGGGCCAGGCGGCCGATTTTTTAGGCATAAGTTAAAAAATTGCATGGAAAAAATTCTTATTTTGATATTACTTTCATAAAACGCATACCCTAACTACAACAAAAACATCAATATTTTTGATATTTATGCAACACTGTAATATTGATTCAAACTCTTCAAACTCACTTCAAAGTCAGTTGTTCGATCTGTAAAATGGTGCGAAATTTTTGCTAACTTTGAGAGCTTGTCAATTTCTTAATTTTGAAAAATACGTAAATAAATGTTGATAATGGAAATGAAAGGACTGGGTATGTAGGAAGTTTATATAGAAACAAAATTTGTTCGTATTTGTTAATTTGTTTTTTGTATGCATGTATTTGTGTTATTCATATTTCTATAAAACTGAAACAAACTGCCCGTCTATTGTGGAGTGAAAACATACTTTCTGCAACTTTGTGCGAAAAAGTAAAATTGCCAAAATAAAAAATATTTATATTAACTTAAGTTAAATATGCTTTGTGCGACTTTTCGGCCACTTTTATTTTGTAGCTGACGTTGAAATTCACATAAATCCTTATTCGTAATCACTACAATACCCCTAAAATTCCTAGATGGTTTTGGAAATGTTTTGTGGTTAAATCGTAGTGCTTTTTACACATGATCTCTTTCGTTTTGACAAATACAAAATCATATCAATAGTGACCTATCTGTAGGGCGAGCACAAAAGAATTTATTCAAAATGACAATATTTAAAGTTTGGCATGATTTTCGTATAATACTCTTATATGGGCGGTAGGAGTGGGCGTAGTCCGATCGGTCCAAAATTAAACACAGTTCTTATACATGTCATTACAAGCACCTGTACCAAATTTCAAGTCTCTAACTTCATGTTTCGAATTTATACCAAAAAATCGGCAAACTGACCCAATGTGCAGTGGTCGAAAAGGCCGTTACTCAATTACTTGTATAAATACAATTTAACTCAATAAGTGCTTCTAGACAATTCCCTTATTTTTATACTCTGTACGTGAAATGTACATGAGTATATTAGGTTTGCGGAAGCTGAAAAATGGAGGAGGCGTGGCAGACCCCACAAAGTATATTTATTCTTGATCAGCGTGACAAGACGAGTCGATCTAGCCCTGTCTGTCTGTCTGTCTGCATCTTCTAGTCCAAGATGCCTTACATATGTGAATACGCAGAAAATGTCTATTTTGGAATTTTCCTCCCTCCCTCCTCTCCACCACAAATCTTAACTACCCTAATTCTTGGAATTTCGAACTAAAATCTTGCAAATGCCCCCAGTTAGTTATTATGTGTCCGTATGCCAAGTTTCACTGTGATAGACCGATTTAACAAGAATCACATAAATATATTTGCTGCTCAAACGCTGCCCGCAGCTGTTGTTGATATTGCTGTTTGGTTGACTGCAAACATATTTACACAGACACGAATAGACGCGCATAGACATTTATTGCTTTGTATGTGTGCAATTATACAACCTTTACGTGAGTTCGAATACCGAGAGAGGTAAAATCGATCAACATTTTTTTTTAAATTCTCTTAATTTTTTTAATTTCCATAATTATTTTAAACATATGTACAGAGTATTTTAAAGTCGGGACACCCGACTTTAGCTTTTTTACTTGTTGGTTATCAAGCTAAGCAAACGTTTATTCTTAACCAGTCTTTATTTTAAATCTTAAGTTTGTTTTATGATCAGCAAGATTTTTACTACGTTGATATTGAAAAATGCGTATGAATTAAGATTTCAGATTGTGTTCCGCAAATATGTGGGATCAGTTTTATCGATATTATACCATTATCGTTTGAAGATCCAAAATGGTTAATTAAAAAGGGGGTTTGAATGACCCCGCGACGTGTAAAGAATGTACTTTCAGAAACCAGATCGACATAGTTTTCCCAGTTGTGAATGAAATGTAACAAGAAAGGAATGCTAAAGTCGAGCAGGCTCAACTCTTAAATACCCTGTACCACCCCACAAAAGAAAAACATTTATTAAAAAAATGTAATTAATTTAATAAATAAATAAAATTAAATATAAAATATTCCATACACGCATCCATACATTTACATCAGAATCGTTTCTATGCGTATTTGTGTACTTGTACATATGTGTGCATTACATAATAGGACAGAGCTTTGGCCTGGTTATATGGCTATAACTTTCTTCCTAATCAACCTATCATAGGAGTTATAGAAAATAGCGAATAGCGGGGAAGTGGGGGGTGAATCGGGAAAAATGAACAAACTTGCCCTTTCTCGGACGTAGAAGAATCGGGATACCAAGTTTGGTTACTCTAGCTCTTATACTTTCTGAAATCCTTGCGTTCATACAGACAGACGGACAGATAGGCGGACATGGCTATATCGACTCGGCTTGTCATCCTGATCAAGAATATATATACTTTTGCCACGCCTCCTTCTGTGTGTTACATGTACACTCGCACAAAACTAATATACCCTTTTTCCCTTTGGGTACACAAAATACCATGGAAGATGGAAAATATGTAATGCAAAAAGTTTGCCTTTTAATGCGATTATATTTCTGAGCAAGCTTATCAAATATTTCAAAATACTAGGTATCAAGAAAAGTTGAATGATTTTTATAATTTACAAATACATATGCAAAATAAAATATCTTGTTATTAACTGCCCTTGGAGCTCTCTCAAGCAGAATTATTTTACAGACTAGAACGCATTCAAAAGTATTTATTTCTTTATTCACATTCGGTATTGATATTTTATAACATTGACTTATATGTATATAGACACATATCGAAACATTCATACATACTTTAGTAATGTTAACAGCAGATTTTAGATTTCGACCACTGTTCAGTCGTGCCCACATATCGAATGCCTTATAAGGCTCAATTACAAAAGATTACACTTAATTGAATTATAAATGAGCATTGTTCACAACCATTTTATTGATTAAGACAATTTCTATTTGCAATTGCAGCGAACAACTGAAAACACAACTAACTATTGGGCAGGAAGTTGAAATCAACGCGACAACAAACAAGCAAACAATCAACCGTTTGCAATCATTTAGGTTCAATAAACGCAGCAGCGTAAAATTAATTATACAGAAGCACTCTCTTACGAGTTGTATATAGAAAGAATACCAGCAACAACAAACAAAAACCAACAAAACAAAATGCAGTGCGGCCTGGAGCAAATGAATGATTGTGAGCGTTCACCAAATCGAACAAATCTACGCGTCAATTTCAATGAGAAGGGCGCCGAAGTTAAGGAGCGACGCGAAAAGTTCCTCACAGCCAAATACGGTTCACATCAGATGAGTTTAATTAGAAAGCGCTTGGCTGTCGAAATGTGGCTGTATGATGAACTACAGAAGCTCTTTGATCCACCGGTAAGTAGCAAAGTACAACATTTGGACGTCTGAACGTCTTTACTTATCTGTTGAGCTGCAAGACCTACTGCTGTGAAGCTTAGTGGGTAGATAGGTCTAAATTTCATGCATACGAAGTAATATACATAATTATACCAAAATCTATTTCTTATCGAAGAGTTAAAACTTGACAAGTCCTAAGTATAGTTTAGATTAGGTTTAATGTCTTTCTTTATATAGGAACTCCTTAATTGACAAAATAGCTATGCTCAGCGCCAGATACACGAAGCGGCTCCTTAACCACCCAAAAAACGTGGTCATAAATCTATCTCTAAAGAGACTCCACCTTTTAGACCTCAAACTAGTTATCCACCCTGTCATGGCAAAAACAATTATATTGAACAATATTTTTGATAAACAATAAACATACAACACACATACAACAACTTTCAAACCGTCAGGGCATAAACAAAAAACATAGTGATTGTGCCCTTAGGGACAGATTTTAGATACAGATTTAATAAAAACAGGAAAGGAATGCTAAAGTCGAGCAGGCTCAACTCAACAACAACGAGCAGGCTCAAAAAATTATTAAAAAAATTTTATTAATTAATTAAATTAAATATAAAATATTCCATACATGCATACATACATTTACATTAACATCAGAGTCGTGTCTATGCGTTTTTGTGTACTTGTACATATGTGTGCATTACATAATTATGTCAAAGAAGCAACAAATACAGCTGCGGACAGAGCTTGGGCCTGGTTATGTGGCTATAAATTTCTTTGGTATACGGATATAAATTCAATAACTGGATGTGTCCAGGAAATGTTAGTTCAAAATTCTAAGAATAACGGGAGTTATAGAAAATCGCAAATAGGAGGGAGTGGGGGGTGGATCAGAAAAAAAGAACAAAGAGTCCTTTCTCGAGCTCAGGAGAATCTGGATACCAAATTTGGTTATTCTAGCTGTTATACTTTCTGAGATCCTTGCGTTCATACAGACAGACGGACAGACAGGCGGACATGGCTATATCGACTCGGCTTGTCATCCTGATCAAGAATATATATACTTTGTATACTCCTTCTGTGTGTTCCATGTAAACTCGCACAAAACTAATATACCCTTTTTCCCTTTGGGTACAGGGTATAAAAAATCCCATTCTATAGTTTCTTAGCTCGAAACCCATTTCTAGAGTTTCTTTAAAGCTTGTATACTAAAATAATAAACCCAACATCTGAAAATGTATAGTAATAACATACAAATAATTGCAACATTTGATTTCTTACTTCACTTGCAGAGCGAGGCAATCGATGTAGACATCGATGAGATCCTGGACATGGATACGGATGACATAAGAAGATCTCATCTGATTGTAAGTATTTCAAAGTACTTTTTAAAAACACATTTAAAATTATATTCATTTCTTCACAACAGAGATTATTGTCAGTCTGCAAGCGCCCGCAATCGGACATATCGAAGTTTATTAGTGATCTCTTGGATCGCGCAAAAACACTGTAAATTCACAGCGCTGTGGTTTTAAAAAAGCAAACGTAATTGAAATAAATGAAATGAACTAAATGAGAATTGCAAAAAATTAATTAATTTTTAAGTTTAGCTGCTTTAAGACGCAGAACAAAGAATAACACAAGATATCGACTTTAATTTAACAATCATGATAATTTGTTTAGTTTCACGTTTAGTTGAAGTTAAGCTTTAATTTTTATGGCGCTAACTAAATTCACAAACATTTTATGTAACAATTTAAGTCTTACTTTAATTTAAATTACTTAAATATTATACTATTTGTAGCCATAAGCTCATATATAAAACACGGAAAGAGAAAATTGAAATTGAAATGAATTCATCAATTTTGTGATGATATTTTTAAATACAAATAAATGGCCTGATAATAAAAATGAAATCAAATTTAAATGTTTAGCTATAAAAAGTAACGAAAATGCAAGAAAATGTTAAGTGTGTGTAGTTAAAAAATAAATGATTGATTATAGGGCAGTGTTTGCACCACCAAAGAAAGAAAAACACAAAGCAGCGGTATTCGTAGAACTAAATAAATACATAAACAAATATCACTCTGGTTGTTGCAAATTCAGTTTTTTGCATTGTGGGTGTAATGGTGGAAAAAGCCTGAATATAAATACACATACTACCTAAGTAGTACATATGAATGATTTGCGCCATGTGCTTAAATTTAGATTACATATGGTTTTGTTTATAGAATGAAAATAAATGTGAAAGCATGTTTAAAAGAAATTGGGTGAACGATGTTTTTGTAAAGTAATATGATCACCGAAACAAAGAAGAAAGCTCAGGTTCACTGCCAAAACGTGGAGTAAGATTTGTGCGTATTTATTAAACAAGAGAAATAAAAATTAAACATTTCGTAATTACAAAGAAGCCCCTATACGTTTAATTTTTCAAAACCACAGCATCGAAAGGTGTCTTTCAAGCCGAAAGTTGCAATATTTCTTATTATAAAACTATTGATTTAAATTTTTAAATATAACTTCATGTACATATAATGAAAACATCACAATTGTCATCACACAAATTGATTTGTAAATACCTTAAAACCATAAAACATCTTCACTCCACGACACATTTTCTTGTAGTAGCTTCTAGTAATTCTCTAACGATTGATACCTAACATAAAAGTATTTTAAATGTGCTCAATACAACAACAACAACAAAACATGAATCAATGAATTTTGTATGAAATATGAAAATTGTTTTAGCACAACTATAGCTGAAATTAATCGTTGCAAACATACTGCACTTTCTCCGACACTCTACTTATTATACGAGTATGTACATCATATAAACCCTATAAATTAACCCACTTATAGAATTAGTATCTTCTCTAAAATGTGCTCTCGCAAAATCATTAGCATACGAATAATGGCACATTTGTCAAATTTAGGTGCTCACACACACATCTAAAAAGCATATAGCTGAACATTAATATTAATCAAGCACTTTCTTCTCATTTCAAATCATTTTTGAGAAACGCTGCAAAGCAATTAAACACATGCTATGCAAAAATGCTGTAACGCAGTAACAAATACATACTGCACATACATATGTATTAAAAACTTGCAAAGAAAAGTTTATAATAAAAGTAAATTGCTTTAGAGAGACAATATGTGGGGGTTCTGTTTATTTGATAAAACTGACAAATGTTTGGAGTTTTAGGATTATAGCGGTTTTTAAAATCATTACACATAGTTGGCTTGTCTTTAACATATGTACATACATATTTCGCTGACCATCTGTCCTTAACTGCGACTCAAGGTGACTCACCTAATCGTCGTTGGTGGACCTCCTGCTCTTCACGTCTAACTGCATAGCATTGTGCTGCACTTCTTACCGCCGTTGTTGTCGCCACCCATCGTTTTGTAAACTTGAAGCCTGCCGATCACCTCATTTTCGCCTTCGTCGTTTTCTAGTTTTGAATCTCTTCTATAGCTTGGCTTTACTTCTTGTTGTCAACGTACAAATATAATCAATTTAATTGAAATAAATGGTAGAATATTTTTTCATTCTGTGAACTTTAAATGTCGATAACAAATAAATTATCGATGAAGAGATGCCGGGACTGGTTTATCTGAGCATAACAGCTGTTGTGTGAGTTCTAGAGATGTAAGCCAGAAGCAAACCCTGCAGCGAATCGTACTACAAAAGCAATCGGTGAGCTAGTTCATTTTAGGAAACGAAAATAAACGCAAAACATATTAAAACAATGAAGTGTAAAAGTATTCAAATTATGCAACGCTCTTTTTGTTTTACAAAAGGGTATTTTGTTGTTATAGCAATTTTAAAATATGCGTATCAATCTCCAGATCTCAAATAGGTAACAGTAATATAAATATTTATCCGACGATCAAAAGACTGCTTTGCAGGAAATATTCTGGCTAGAACGCGTGTAATATAATATTTTTCAGGTTATGTAAGCTTCGTTGGCCTTAATAAGATTAAAATTTGATTTGATTTTTGGTGCAAAATAACGAAAAAATATCGATTCATCATGTTAAAACAAAAACAGTCAGTTATCGTTGTATCGAGGTGCATCTGGAGAACTAAATTGGACGGAATGAAATTCTAACAGAACTTAGACAAAATGTGGAAAGAATACTACACTTGGACTTATCCTGACATGCCGAAGGAGGTAACGTAAGTAATTCTGCAATGTCCCAAATAGCAGAATGCTAATCGACTGATTTTAGGGAGCTGCTCGCACTCAAGGAAAATGAAAAGCTCGTTATAGTTGGAATAATTGGACGTTCTAAATGTCATCTAGCGAATAAAATGGCTGCATTTGGCATGGAGCCGGAGCCCGGTCATGAGCCAAAAGATGGTCAAATACAATGCTACTACAAACCTGGTACCAAGACGCTGCTTATTCATTTTGAAACCACTTCCGATGATGCAGTGATTGGTCAGTTAATAGAAACAGAGGAGCCGCAGACACCTTTGGATTTCGATGAATTCTATGAGCAGATGCGAAGTCGTTTCGTGCGTATGTTTTTGCTGGCGCTGCACGTTTGCCACATTTTAGTGTATGTGGAAACGTCCTTTTTATTTGACATAATGCTGGTGAACATTTTCCGGCTGCTGAAGTTTGTGCGGGAGCAGAATCTGCTAGAATTTTTGCCCAGTCTGTTCGAAATCAGTGAAAATATATCTTTACTTGGCGAACAGACGCGTCTGTGCACACCACGTATTTTGTTTCTGTTTGAGAACTATCCGCGAGATGGGGAACGCACACGTGAATCCATCTCGTCCCATGAATTCCAAACCGAGGACAATATCTACGAGCTACTACGTCACTATAATATAGTGAGTAATAGCAGTGCCAGCTCACTGCTGGCCTTGCCAAAGAACAAACAATTTGTGTTCTATAATACGCATGAAAAGCTCCATCCGGATACATTTCTACAGGCAGTAGACGAACTACACAAAGCCATGTATAAAGTAGATATCAAGGAGGAGGATGAAGACTTAGAGATTTTAGAGCTAGCGCCATTTGAGGGCTTTGTGAAGCCCCTAGGTGATTCGTACATGACGCGTAATTCTGAGGAGAATGTGTTTAAAAGGGAGCACACGGCATGGTGTTTCCTACAGCGGCATGTTGAGGATGCGCTCACTGGTTGCTTTGATGAGGGTTCCTTTAAACAGTGCTTGGATTCCACGAGCCTGAAGCTGCCTAATTGGAAGGAGTGGCACGATTTGATGGCAGTGTTTCACAAAGTATTGGTGCTAAATGCTCAGAACGATAATTTCAATACTAGCAATGAGGCATATGTAAGTTATACGAGAAAACTAAACTAAAATAATTAAGCCATATATTTCTTCATTTCAGAAAAGTTTTCTAGAGAACTTCGATGACAATCTCAATTATGAACGCAAGTAAGTTCTTAGTTATGACTCTATCTCTCGAGTAATCATTTATTTCTGCACAGATTTTGGGCCCATCTATGCGAGCTTGGTTTGAAAAAAGGCGTCTGCACTTACAAGCAAGCTGCTCCGAACTTGTATGGCAGTGCGGAGCACAAGCAACTGCTTGCCCAGGCCTGTGCAGCCTTCGAGGAAGACGGGCGTGGTCCACCCGCTAAGGCCGCTTTGGCCAAACTGAGCGACATTTGTCTAAAGCACTGGCAGGATGGGCGACAGCAGTGCGAGCACTTGAGTTTGCGTGGACATCCCTGTGTGTTGTCCAAGGATGTGGCACACGATAAGCACAGCAGCGGTGTGATGCACATTTCCAGTTGTAATTGTGGACGCACACAGGGTCGACGGGAAGATCCCTATTCCCTGCGTCAGGCCAACTATGACTACTATGAGCAAATGGCCAACACGTGTAATCTGTGTGTGAAGGCCAAACAATATCAGTTCGCTATTTTCAAGCCCTCGATCAGTGATTATCGTGCTGCTGCCTTTGAAGCGGCCTTTCCATTGCTGAGTGCAGCCAAAGTCGTCCGCCCGGAGCAGTCAGAGGGCGCTGAGTTGGTGCAATCCGATGAACCAAATAGCTTGCCGCCGTTCTCTCAAGAGGCCGAAGGGCCTACAAATCAATCCCTGAACAATCGCTGCTCTCAACCGCTGTCACCTACATTTGGCTCCGATTTAAATATGTCTGTAGCGGGTTTTGGCGATTCACTTAAAAGCGAAGCCAATGAAATTGAGGTGCTGGAGACACAAATGGGTACACGCTCCGGCAGCTTTGCCAGCACCTTCACAGGCTCTAGCAGCAGCGACTCTAGCAGCGATGACGGTGTTGAAAATGAGTTGGTATTGCAAGTAAAACAGCGCGGCGCATCGCCGACCATAAGTACTAAGGAGACCGCCACAAATGCTGAAGAAAAGAGCTGCGCTCTGGGAGTACTGCGTCAGGCATCCACTACTGAGTATTTGCCTGGATTGGTGCACACTTTAACAGCTGGTGGCTTGCTGCCATTCTTTCCTAGCTGGTCGCTGGCCTGTGTGGGTCCAAGTTCCGTTTATAGCCACAATACTGGACTTCAGGAGCACTTTCAAGCCGGATTTCTATCGGGCGCTAATTTTCTACTGCCCTGGGATGTGCATGTGCGCTTGCAGCGAGCCACCAGCGTGTCAACAACACACCACAAGCATCACCATCAACAGTCCCTAGGAGGCAGCAAAAAGATGCAGCGCTATCGCAAACATGGTGATCGTCTAATGCTGAAGATTTTCATTGGATTCGAATACGAATGCTCTCGCGGCCATCGCTTTATAATGTGCAGTCCGGATCGTATATTACGGGGCGGCGCTGACATCGAACGCGACACCAGCACTAAAGTAGTGCACAGCAACATGCCGCTCTACTATCCCTGTCCATGCCGAGGACAAAGCAACTATCTTGCCCAACTAATGCGTGTACATGTCGTCACACCAAAAGCCCCGGTAAACGTCATATTGGATCCTAAGGTGCGCGTCAACAATAAATATACCTTCACTCTTGGAGTTGAGCCGCCACCGCGTCTATCCCAGAGCGCTTACTGGATACTGAGATTTCCATATGTGTATCAAGGCGACGCTTTCCTTATTAACCCGCCAAAGGAGCTGAATACGGAAGATCCGCTATCTCATGGTTGTCTCTTGGCTGGCATGTTTGGCGTGGCCGAGGTGGAAGCCGAAGAACATGCTGAGTAGTTTAGAAAACAAAAACTTCTAATAAATATCTTAAGATCTGTTAATAAATTCTGTCTTCGAAATGATCAGCTATCCTAAGCAAGATGATAAAACAATTGTAGATTGATAATTATGTACATAGTATATGGTATGAAAAAAACAAGAGAGATCGCTACAGTCGAGTAAGCCCGACAGTGAAATACCCTGTACTCAAACTCCTGTGACTGAGAAGAAAAAGAGCGAACTTGATGCTGCAGATTGTGAGCGTAGTACTATAGTAAAATTGTTTCGCTAATAACTTTTCTTCAAATTTACCGATGTGGATGAAATTTGCAACAAAAGTATATATTTATATATATGTATGTTACGTGTCCAAGTTTGGTTTATGTTTCTTTTGAAATTGACGAATTTCTGTAGCGGAGAGAGGTGAGGGAAAAAGCCAATAAATAAATAAAAAAAACTCGTATAGACTATGAGCGTTTACATACCAAGTTTGGTTAATGTTCGCTCAGCCGTTTCGAAATCCACGCATTCATCCAGACGGACGGACACGTCTAGATCGATTCGTTTCGTCATGCTCTTCAAGAATATATATATGTACTTTATCGGGGTCGGAGATGATTACTTCTGCATGTTACATACTTTGCACAAACCTAATATACCCTTTTTAACCTACGGGTACAGGGTATAAAAAAATTTAATTAAATTAAATACAAATTATTCAGTACATACATACAAAAACAGCATAAATATACATCATCGTGTCTATGCTGTACAGTATTAATACAAAGCAGCAACAGCAATAGCTGCGGGCAGAGCTTGGGTAGATATACATGGTGTGTTCCAAAGTAAACAGGGCTTTAAAAATCCTGTCTGCATACCAACTTTGGTTATTCTAGCTTTTATAGTTTCTAAGATCCTTGCGTTCATCCAGACGGATGGACATGTCTAGATCGATTTCTCTCGTCATGCTGATTCAGAATATATGTATATACTTTATGGGGTCGGAGTTGCTTCCTTCTGCATGTTACATACTTTGCAGAAACCTAATATACCCTTTTTACCCTACGGGTACAGGGTATAAAAATATTTAATTTATTTAATTAAATTAAATATAACAAGAGAGAACGCTACTAGTATTACAATAACAGATTTAATGGAAGTAGCATATGCCAATGTTGTATTAGATAATAATTTTCTGCACTTTATAATTAAATATCCTGATTCTAGTTTAGTCTTTAAAAAGATCACCCAGTTTCCTGCGCAACACAATGGTACTATAATACATTTTGCTGAAGATAATAATTTCAAAGACTGTGGCAATAAAATCCTGCCAATAGGAAATTGCACCGCTACTCTCACGTCAACATTTTGCATCCTCCACGACATGTGCGCAACAACTCCACTCCGGCGTTACCGCACACTGCAGCACTCGCCCTAGGAACGCTAGAGGTAGTGGACGACGGTATCATCATAATAAATGAGGGAACTGCTGAAATACAAATTGACAACAGTACAGAGAAACGTATCCATGGTACGTCCCTGCTGACATTCGATGAAAAAGTCTGGAGAAACGGGTCTCTGTTCAGCACCATGAAGAATATCGTCCGAAGACACCGCAGGCCGCAGCAACATCGGCACTACTGAATATCACCGGTCACCAGGAAATTTTGAGCCTGCCATATCTGCAAAGGTTTTGAAAAATCTGCGGTACATTGGCGACATAGAGGGAAAGTTGACAACAAGGCCGGCGATGTTCATCGCATCCATTCTTTCCATCCTAGCAATCGGATTCCTTCTATTGAAATTGTACCAGAAACGGAGAAGCCGGAGAGCCGCCAATCTTCCCTACAGATTGTTATCGAAAGTCTGAGGAAAACCGAGGACGGCCTTCAACTGAGCGAGGGAGGAGTTAACACATCCGACCGGTCATAAGTCAGTGACCGCTCGATCATGCAGAATATGAACGATTTTGGGCATGGTCCTCAACTTAGTCGTGCGTAAGCAACAACAGGGCATTCATCGTCCACTTGCACTTGGAAAAAGTGCCATGTCAGCAAATATGGGTCACAGGGCTAGTTTTCATTTTAAGAACCTTTCTGTACTTGGAGTTAGTCAGATTTTGGAAATAAACCGCGTCGGTCATCGCCACGCCAAACTTTACTTAATAGGGTACTCATTTGTGCGACACCGCGCATCTTATTAATTCGCTCAACAGCGGTGTAAAACCTATCTAAATAGTGGTGCATCGCGCACCCCATCTATTCGCCTAACAGCGAACGTGCTTAATTTATATACTACTAGCAGGTATTGCCCGTCTTAACCCGGCTCAATATGTTTCCAATTGTATTTATTTTGTGTGTGCATAACCTACCTATATGTTTTCACCTTAAAGGTTACCAGTAGGATGGCAATTAAGGTATTTAAATGAACATTTTCTGTTCTTGACAAAAAATTGTTCAGTAGTCCGTTACATTTTTGTTCTTGACAAACTATTTCGTTAAACGAACATGACCACTATAACTAATATTTTTTAAAGCTCGTTTTCCCCCCGTTGGAGCTAGAATTTTCCAAAAGCCTTTCTTAGTGTGCTCCTACACTATGATGGATACTATGAAACGATACTTGAGTCCAAATTTAAATTCACATTTGAGTCTTTTCGTGCCATATTGAGTCAATACGGCCACGCACAAACTCGGAATATGAAACACGGCAATTCGTGTCAATGCCGTGCAGCGATGAGCCACGATCAAAAAGCACTGGCACCGATACCATCAAAATATCGAAGTTTGAATGCAATAAGCAGAATATTTAAATAACAAAATCTAATTATTTATTGACATCAATAAGAACAAATCATATACATACATACATACATCTGCCCGCAATGCGAAGCAGAATATGCGTAGCTCCGTTATTCGGTTTCTGTTTTACTATCGCTTACGCAGTCGTTGCCTAGCGACGGTAACTGTAACATTTTGGCGTTTTGTCTTTGCAATTAACTTTAAATGGTCAAAACGAAAGAAGAAGAGCGAGCTAATGACTTGCAGTTGTTGTTGTTTTTAGAGCATTATTTTTTTTTACAATCAAACAACTGTGTTCGATTGCCCAATGTATACATTAATACAAATGTACATACATGCTATATTCATACACAGGCATACATACATATGTACATACATATGTTTCTCTTTACTTTTTCAACCGTACGTAGAGAACCGCACACATAGACACGAACTGTTGCTTGTTGTGTGTGAGTGTGTGTATGTGATGTCCCCAACTATTTGATATTTGTTGTTGCTGCATAAAGTTATTAATGAAAACACTAATGCCAAATGCACTAAACAAAGAAAAAATTACTTTTAAAAATGTTATATTATTTAATTTTCAATTAATTAAAATTTCTTGCTCTGTCAGTGCAAGACGAATGTACATACATACATATGTAGATACATATGTACATACATAGATGTGCACATATGTATGGACATTCACACATTAGTGTCTCACATGTTGCTTTGGCTATTTCAATCGTTTGCACGCAACTACACGAACAGTTGTTTGTATGTGTGTATATGTATACTTAGTTGTCACCAACTGTTTGATATTTTGTATTGTTTGTTCTGCCTGCTTTTCTAAAATGCATATTTTGAAAATACTTGAATGCAAAGTTGTAGATTTAGTTACGTAGATTACATTATCCAAATTTTAAATCGATCGGACTAAATTTATAACACAAACTTTTCATTTGAAATAGTGAATAAATATTAAAACCCCAATAATTCAAGCTCCAACACAAATTTCGAAAATCCGAGTATGCAGTTTTGTTTGTATCCTTTAACTGATTTTAGAAACTAAGTTTTAAGTCGATCGGTTGAAAAATGCGGATTTTTTAAACAAGCTTTGGAGCTCGTTTTCCCCCCTTTGGAGCTCGAATTTTCCAAAATCCCTTCTTAGTGCGCATCTACACCATGATAGGATACTATCAGCATCCTAGCTTTTACCGTGTGGGCTGTGCGTTGATCACCAATCATTCAGTCAGTCAGTCAGTCAGGACAAACTGTTTTATATATATAGATGTGGGGTCTGCCACGCTTCTTTCTCTCTGTTACATAAATTCGCACAAAATTAGTATACCCTTTCACCCTTTGGGTACCGGGTATAAAAACATCGGGCTTATTCCAAAGCACAGACTGTACTGTATGCAATATCCAGAAGTATTTTCAGTAGCTTGTTTCCGCTCTTTAATAAAGAAAGTATAGAGGACATTCAAAGTTATTGGAAAGATATGAATAACACTTTGCTAATAAAGTTGACGGAGAGTCACATTTTCGCAATTGTCGCTGGCAGCACAGACCTTCTGTTCGTTGAAGGCCATCATACACACTTTGAAAGTCATAAACCGTGATCAAATATTTTGAATACGCTTATCTCCCTTAGCCTTGCTTTGCAACGTTGTTATCTGATTGCTATATGCTTGCCATTCTAAGAATATCATATAAATACTGCTGGAGTATATGTGAAAGCAAATCAGTTGCTATAGTTTTTCAACAACGATATGTCAATCGTGCCGAAAACTTTCTTCTGGCTCTACAGCCTTATTGCTCTTTTTTCCTCAATTCAGGCAAAACATTGTCCGGAAAACTTCGCAGCTGTGGGAGAGAAATGTTATCATGTGTTTTTGGATAAGGTAAGATGCTATAGAAAAATGGATTTACTAATATAATAGTGGCTGTTATTTTCGAATATAGGTGACTTGGCATGCGGCCGATCGGAGATGTCGCTCACTAGGATCCAATCTATTTGTGCTAAGCGATCAGAAAGATATGGATTTGTTGACACAGTATCTTCTGGATGTTGGAGTGCCGTTTGCTAATAGTTGGCGAGACACCGTCTGGACAGGCATTACTGCGTTAGGGACAAACCGAAATTTCGTATTGGCAAAGAATGGAAAGGAAATACCATTTACGAAATGGTGTCCTAGACAACCAGACAATAGCGCATCCCCAGAAGACTGCATCGGCTATGCTAAGTTCCCCACCTTTGGCTATCATGACGTCACATGCACCTTTCTATACCCGTTTGTTTGCGAAATCGATGCCGTAGAGGATTATGTATGTTTTAAAAAAGATACTTCACTATTGCTTAAAACTCTACCAAACTAAACAGAAGTTCAGTTGCAAGCAATCTTAACAATAACAAGTAAAAAAGCTAAAGTCGGGTGTCCCGACTTTGAAATACTCTGTACATATGTTTACTATAATTATAGAAAATAAAAAAAATTGCATCTGTGTGAGTGTATGTATGCCTATGCTCATATATTCGTGTCTGTGTAAACATGTGTGCAGTCAACCAAAGCACCAGCATCAACAACAGCCGCGGGTAGCGCTTGAGCAGCGCTGCAGCAGCAAATATATTTATGGCTATAACTTCTTGTTAAATCGGCCTATCATAGTGAAACTTAACATACGGACACATAATGACTAACTGGGGATATTTCCAAAATTTCAGTTCGAAATTCCAAGAATTACGGGAGTTAGAGAAAATCGCGATTTGCATGGGAGAGGGGGAGGGAGGGAAATTCCAAAATACACAATTTCTGCGTATTCACATAAGGCATCTGGGACTAAAATGTTGTGTTGGTAGGTCTTATAGTCTCCGAGATATAGGCGATTATACGAATGGAAAATCGGGAAAACCCCCATAGGGGGGAAGTGGGGGGAAAATCCAAAAAATAAAACAAACTCGTATATAATACACACATGTGCAAAATGTGCTGTCTCTATCTCTTATAGTCTCTGAGATCCAGGTGTTCATACGAACGGACAGACGGACATACAGGGCTAGATCGACTCGTCTCGTCAAGCTGATCAAGAATATATATACTTTGTGGGGTCTGCCACGCCTCCTTCTGCCTGTTACATTTTTCAGCTCCCGCAAACCTACCTGTACATTTCATGTACAGAGTATAAAAACTGTTTAGTTAATGCTCTCAATATATATAATATAAGATATAAATATATGCATACATATACATATGTATATACTTGTATATTCAAATCGGTCAATTCAAAGTTGCAAGCGAAAGAATTTCACTCCAGTACTACGCCAACAAGCTGCATCATCAGGGTATTAGAATGGCTTCATCGACTGTAGCTTTCTATCTTGTTTCAAAGCTTCTGTCACTGTTATTTTGTTCCAAAAATTCGGATTCTTTAAACAACTTCACTTTTTGTAAAAGGTGCATACTATACAGCGCGCGACCTACTTACGACCAGAGGTTGCCGACTATATTTTAGTTGCATATCGGTCTGGGAGAACAAAAAGGAAACAAAGCAATGCTTAAATTTCCAATTTCATTCTAATTTTATTCCAGAAGTTCCTTCAGTATTTATGTTTGTCTTACGAGTATTTACTAGTTCTTTCTTATGCACTAACTAGCAGGTCTTGCTCGTCTTTGCTGGGCTAAGTAAAATGTGCTTATAATTATAAGTTTATTTACTAAAGTTTTTTAAAGAGTTCATTTTCCAAATAGCAAATATAAGTACTATGTATGGTTGTACGTACATACATACATATGTATGTACATATCTTCGTTACGCACCGGGCGGAATGCTAGTCCTGACTTAACTGTGTGCTTCCTCAGCACGTTGTACGCACGGTCCGACGCAAAACATTCAATTTTGATTTATAAATCGGGACGTCCCACCAAAATTGGAGCGTTCGGCAACGTTGATATGTATGTATGTATATACATTTAAAATTTTCATGCAGGCGTTATCAGCATATATACATACATACATATATAAGTATGTATTAAATTTTTTAATTCAACACTAAATTGTGTCTTCAATTCCAAATATGATCGTTGTGAAAGTAAAAGGTGTGTTTCTGCTTTTGTAAATCGCATGAATACACTCACAAAATAGGCTTAACGGTAAATGACTCTAAGATTTCTTCAGAACACATTTGTAGCGTTGTTAGCTAATACTAAAACGGTAAGTCGCTGTAAATATGCGATCAGCTGAGATGCTAGAGATGGGCATGTGTCGAATGCTCTATGTGCTAGAGCAGCGGTGGTCACGAAATTTTAGTTTGGGAGTCCTACAACAACATCTACAACAAAAACTACCGTTTGGGTTATGAGAACATCATAAACTGCGAGCAAAAAATTTGGAAAAAAAAGTACACCGAAAAAAATTTTGATCACATTTATGATCATTCATTTAATAATTTTTCGAAGCCTATTTCCTCTTCACTTAAAGCAATTCGTAATAAATCTGATAAATTTATGTCACTTAATTTATTCCTTTAAACATTTTTAATATATTTAATGTTTGAAAATGCAGCTTCGCACACATAAGTGCTGGCAAAAAAATACCGCGTCTCAATCTCGGAAATATTAATTTCATTAGCCATTGTTCAGTTTTAAATCAAATATAAGTAAGATTATAAGTAAATAACTTGACGAAAATCATAAAAGTTTTACTGAAACACTATAATTTATAATTTATCAATACACTTTGAATCTCAGTGCATAAGTGACCGTCAGCGGGTATTGCAAATCGATCATCAGTACACACACTGTGTGTATTTTGTTATTGCATCGATCTACTTGTGCGTCTGGCTGGCGACAACACTGCATGTATTTTGTTTTTGTAAACTCTGTCGCGATAGGTTTGTAAGTTCGGTCTTCTACTTGTGCGTCTGGCTGGCGACAACACTGCGTGTATTTTGTTATTGTAAGTTTCCTCGAGATCGGTACTTTGCTTGTGCGTCTGGCTGTCTCCAGTTACCAAAACATAACGGAAAGAGCCCTGGGAGCCCAAAGAGCCACTACGTGCCCATCGCTGTGCTAGAGGATCAAAACTATCGATAGTTGAATCCGTCGATACAATCAATAATTCCATCGAAGTTTGAATTTAATTAACAGAAAATTTAAATAATAACATCTTATAATTTATTGAGATCAATTAGAACAAATCATAAACAAACATACATATGTATGTACATATGCCCGCAACGCGAAGCAGAATATGTGTAGGTCCACTTTCGGTTTCCGCTTTACTATCGCTTACGCAGTCGTTGCCTAGCGACGGTAACTGTACGCTTTTGGCATTTTGCCTTTAAAATTAACAGGCGTAAATGATCAAAACGAAAGAAGAAGCGCGAGCCAATGACTTGCAGTTGTTGTTGTTTTTCGTTTTAAAAATTTGATTAAAAACCATAGAACATTATTTATTACAATCAAACAACAGTGCTCGATTCTCCAATGTGTACATACGAATGTACATACATGCTATATATGTACATACTCAGGCATACATACATATGTATGTACATATGCATGCATGTTTCTCTCTCATAGACACGAACTGTTGCTTGTTCTGTGTGTGAGTGTGTGTATATGATGTCCCCAACTATTTGATATTTGCGTTCTTTGTAATTTGAACACACATTCATACATAGATGTGTATATGTACATAGATGTGTACATATGTATGCATGTGTCTCACATTTTGCTTTGGCTGTTTCAATCGTTTGCACGCAACTACACGAACAGCTGCTTGTATGTGTGTGTTTGTATGTATACTTAGTTGTCCCCAACTGTTTGATATGTTGTATTGTTTGTTCTGCCTGCTTTTGTAAAATGCATATTTTGAAAATCCTTGAATGCAAAGTTGTAGATTTAGTTACGTAGACTACAGTCCCCAAAGTTGAAATCGATCGGAAAAAATTTATAACACAAACTTTTCATTTGAAAAGGTGAATAAAAAATAAAAAATTCTTTAATTGATTTTAGAAACTAAGTTTTAAGTCGATCGGTTGAAAAATTCTAATTTTTCAAACAAACTTTGGAGCTACTTTTCCCCTTTGGAGCTCCAAAATCCCTTCTTAATGCACATTTACACTATGATAGGATACTTGACCCCAAATTTCAGCTTTCTAGCCTTTACCGTTTGGGCTGTGGGCTGTTGACGCGGTTTCCTTTTGTGCCCCAAGAAAACCCAATAATTCAAGCACCAACAAAAAATTTAAAAAACCGAGTATGCAGTTTTCTTTGTATTCTTTTATTGATTTCAGAAACTAAGTTTTATGTCGATCGGCTAAAAAATGCGGATTTTTCAAACAAACTTTGGAGCTCGAATTTGCCAAAATCCCTTCTTAGTGGGCATCTACACTATGATAGGATACTTGAGCCCTAGCATCCTAGCTTTTACCGTGTGGGCTGTTGACGCGGTTTGCTTTTGTGTCCCAACATTTTTTTTACAGTAAAACTCCCATATTTTAGGCCCCCAAAAAAATATCAAAAAACCAAGTATACAGTTTTTCTTGGAATTGTTCTGAGAGTATACAAACTAAGTTTTAAGTTAATCAGATGAAAACTGTATAAAAACTTTTCATACAAACGTTGGAGCCTGTTTTCCTTTGGAGCACGAGTTTCCCAAAATTCGTTCTTAGTGGGCACCTGGACTATGAAGTCCAAATTTCAGCTTCCTAGCCTTTACCGTTTGGGCTGTGCGTTGATCTCCAATCAGTCAGTCAGTCAGGACAAACTGTTTTATATATATAGATAATTCAATATTTCACTCTTTCTTATTCTCTAAACATTGTACTTACTCTCATTTTACATGCTTTGTCTTACTCTATCCTAATCGTGTCAAGGGGTTTTCCCCTCCATATGTATTTGAAGCCTTTCTTATCTAGTGCATTGCGCACCCACCCTTAAACGCTGTCGCTCCATATACTTGTACATATGTATGCATTCCTTGCTATCTACAATGCGTTGGCCTGTAGCGCTGCTGCATGCGGCTATTTTTATACTCTGTACATGAAATGTACAAGAGTATATTAGGTTTGCGGGAGCTGAAAAATGTAACAGGCAGAAGGAGGCGTGGCAGACCCCACAAAGTATATATATTCTTGATCAGCGTGACAAGACGAGTCGATCTAGCCCTGTCTGTCTGTCCGTCCGTATGGATCTCAGAGACTATAAGAGATAGAGACACCAAATTTTGCACAAAGATGCGTTATGTGTGTATTCTATACGAGTTTGTTTTATATTTTTGATTTTCCCCCCCACTTCCCTCCTATGGGGGTTTTCCCGATTTTCCATTCGTATAATCGCCTATATCTCGGAGACCATAAGACCTAGGAACACCAAATTTTAGTCCAAGGTGCCTTGTGTGAATACGCAGAAAATTTATATTTTGGAATTTCCCTCCCTCCCCCCTCTCCCACGCAAATGCGATTTTCTCTAACTCCCGTAATTCTTGGAATTTCGAACTAAAATTTTGCAAATACCCCCAGTTAGTAATTTTGTGTCCGTATGCCAAGTTTCACTATGATAGACCGATTTACCAAGAAGTTATAAACATTGTTGATGTTGCTGTTTGGTTGACTGCGAAAATGCTTACACAGACACGAATAGATGCGCATAGGCATACATACACTCACACAGACGCAATTGCTATGTAAATGTGCAATTATACACCCTTTACGTGAGTTCGAATACCGAGAAAGGTAAAATCGATCATTGAATTTTTTTTTATTTTCTTAATTTTTTTTATTTTCTATAATTATTGTAAACATATGTACAGAGTATTTCAAAGTCGGGACACCCGATTTTAGCTTTTTTACTTGCTTTATTTTGTCGACTATAGCATGAGTGTCTTTGGGTATAGTATGTATCACCAGACATGAGATGTGTGTAGAAAAACGGAAGTCCCACTTTCTACACCATCAGAGTAAGAATGAGTGCATACTTTACTTTATTTCTTCAGACGCGCACATATTAAGATTAAAATTCTTGTGATAAGTGAAATGGTTTAACCGTGGAATGACATAAAATGGTATTATACAAATTGCAGTTTCTACATGGCAGCAAAAGAAAATAAACCATATAAGGAGAACTGCTATGCCTCTAAACAGTCGAAAACAAGAAAGGAATGCTAAAGTCGAGCAGGCTCAACTCTTAAATACCCTGTACCACCCCACAAAAAAGTAATTAAATTAATTAATTAATTAAATTAAATTAATGAACTAAATTAATTTAATTAATTAACTAAATTAAATATAAAATATTCCATACATGCATACATACAATTACATTTATATCAGAATCGTGCCTTATGCGTGTTTGTGTACTTGTACATATGTATGTATGTGTGCATTGGGCCGATCATTCTATCATAATGAAACTTGGTATACGGATATATAATCACTAACCTAATGTGACTACCAAATTTTAGTTCAAAATTCCAAGAAATACGGGAGTTATAGAAAATCGTTAATAGGGGGGGAGTGGGGGGGTGGATCAGAAAAAATGAACAAACTCGTCCTTTTTTGGTCTCAGGAGAATCTGTATACCAAGTTTGGTTTTTCTAGCTCTTATACTTTCGGAGATCCTTGCGTTCATACAGACAGACACACGGACAGACGGACATGGCTATATCGACTCGGCTTGTCATGCTGATCAAGAATATATATACTTTGTGGGGTCTACCAAGCCTCCTTCTGTGTGTTCCATGTGCACTCGCACAAAACTAATATACCCTTGTACCCTTTGGGTACTGATTACTGATTTTTTGCCACGCCAGGGGAGCCACCATATAAAAAATGTTAATTACTAAAGCTGCTATAAATAAATGCCACTAAATGAATTTCTATTTTACTTTAATACATGCTTGTATGTGTTCCCTTTTTATACCCTGTACCCGTAGGGTAAAAAGGGTATATTAGGTTTGTGCAAAGTATGTAACATGCAGAAGGAAGCATCTCCGTCTGTCCGTCCGTCTGGATGAACGCAAGGATCTCAGAAACTATAAAAGCTAGAATAACCAAAGTTGGCATCCAGAATTTCCTAGGTCCGAGAAAGGACGAGTTTATTTTATTTTTTGGAATTTTCCCTCCCTTCCCCCGCTACAGAATTTCGTCAATAGCGTCCAAATTTCAAATGCTACCTAAACCAAACTTTTCACACATAATTTATATATAATTATCTACTGTTGTTCAAAATTCAATTCGGTCAATTCTAAGAAAAGTAATTAGCGAAACAAATTCTCGCTAATCAACTCCCCCCCCCCCCCCCAAACTGCAGTAACAAGTTCGCTCTTCTTCTTCCTCTTTTTTATTAAACTGTCGGGCTTGCTCGACTGCAGCGTTCTCTCTTGTTACTTTTGAAAACTTTTGCCAATTAATTAAACCTTTTTATGTTTTTGAAATGAAATAAATTTAAACACTAAAAAATGTTTGTATGCATTTTTCGAAGTCTAGGAACGTAACCCCTCATTTTGTATGGAAATACATGGCTCGTTTAACGCGATTTCGCTTAACAGGACGTTTTCAAGGAACGTAACCCCCGCCTTAAGCGAGGGCTAGGTGTATTTTGGTATTTCCCTCTCTCCCCCCTCTTCCCAGCAATTAGTAATTTTCCATAATTGCCAAGTTTCATAATGATAGGTCAATTCTGAAGAAGTTATAGCCATAAATAAAATCGCTGCTCATGCGCTGCCTGCAGTTCTGCCGGCAGCGCTGCCCGCAGCTGTTGTTGTTGTTGCTGCTTTGGGTCAACTTTGTGCTGCGTACATACACGCATATAAACACGCATAGGCACGTGATGTAAAAGTATGCTGTTAAAACTGAACATAAACATGTCTTATAATTTAATTTAATTAATTAATTCCATTTTTTTTAATAAATTAATTTTTTTTTTAATTTTAATTTTTTGTGGAGAGTACAGGCTATTTTACTGTCGGGCTTCCTCGACTGTAGCATTCTCTCTTGTTTACACAGGTGTGTAAACTATGTGTGTACACAGTACGAGTTTATTTCATTATTTTAATGCTAATGATATCAATTGTTGCTGCATTGACTAGAGTATTTCAGACAGAGTATTTCACTACTCCACTTATGTAGTGGCGATTAACAGAACTGAACAATTTGAAACTCTTAGCTTGCCACATAAGCGGATTATTCATGACATTGATAAGTGTAGAATGTTAGGCAATAAAATTAATGAACAAAACTATCAATTATGTTAACGCTGGATTCTTAGCTTTAGTTATTTATTGAAGCTAAGGTTTCGATTTAGTGCTTTACAGAATGTTGTGCGGTCACCAACAAAAAAGAAAGGATCGGAAAATGTTCATAAAATTAAGTCTTTGGATGTTATACATAGTCGGTCGTTTATTATTCATTATCGATATCGAATATGACGCGACTACAGAACGTTTTCAAGAGATCAATAAACGCGGGATTAACAAACGTGCATCAAAATATATAAAAGTGTTGGTACTTCTTTGTTCAATTTTTTCGGTAATGTTTCTAATATATATTATTTATTGTGCGAAGAAAATGAGAGTTTTCATATTTCCTCCAACATTTTTGTCGACCCAGTTAAATGTTATTTATGAGATCTGCGGTTGTATTCAAATACCCCTAAAAATGTTGGACTGTCGCTTCCAGAAACAGGTGTTAAGTGTCATTAATAAATTTCTTGACATACATGACTCTTTTTCCGAGGAATTCCATGTTAGATATGGCTGTAACAAATTATTCTTAATGGCGCTCATGTTGAATATATACTTGATTGGACAACAAATATATACAGATGTCAGTAGCAACAACTTTTTTTTCCTCGTTTTTTACATTGGTATTCTGGAATACTTTTATTTGGCCTATGTTACTTGTCAAATAGTCTTGACCTCCTGGTACAAGAACTTTGTTGATATCCTCGACATATTCATTGCCAAAAGCAACAAATTTGAACGCATTAGGCGAGTGGATCATGAAAAATTAAAGTTTTACTTCCATTTGAGTGAAGCTGTGGAGAAAACCAATGATTGTGTCTGTAAGCTGTGGCAGCCGTTGGCAGCGCGAGTTTCTAATTTATGTAATCAATCCATTCTGGCCGGTTTTCTTATAATATATTGCATAATTTTTGATAACCATACAATTGGAGAAAAAGTTCTGCTCGTGAGGAACTCGGATGTTAGGGAAGCTCTGTTGCCTCCATTAAAAATATTACTATTGGGTTATCTGACTGACAAACGAAGAACTCTACAAAAATATCTGCGCTATAAACTCATACACATAAATGCGCTCTATCTTCAGAATAAAGCTCAAGTTCGATTTCTCAAGGAATTTCGATATTTGGTAAGGCATATGCATACATACATATAAGTATGTATGATCTATACTTGTAACTAATTTTTTTTTTTTTCAGTCCCTGTCAATGGAAATGCATGAGCTTTATCAATGCACTTCTACTCCCAACACCCACAATTGCAGTCAATTCGATAGACACTATGCTATGATTTTTGCAATACAAATCCTTAACTCGATATGGGTGATGATGGAATTAGCAGTTGGCGATGAAAGGAGCGGCATTTGTTATAATATGAACAAAATACGTTAATAAAAATATTATTGTTTCGACGCGAATGAGTATATGACATCTCATCAACGCGACGCAAAAAGGCATTCAATAAAATAATATACATACATACAGTGGGCGCAGTTCGCTTAGACGAATGTTATTTATTGTTTATTTTCGATATCTTTTGTATAACAGTTCTTTAGCCGAATAAGAAAACAAGGAAGGAATGCTAAATTCGAGCGAGCTTAACTCTTAAATACCCTGTACTTACCACCAAAAAAGAAAAACAACAACAACAGCGGCGGGCAGAGCATGGACAGCGATTTTATTAATGGCTATACATTTCTTCAGAACTTACCTATCATGATGGGCACGGACACATAAGCACTAACTGGAAGTAACTACTAAAATTGATTTCAAAATTCCAAGAATTACGGAAGTTATAAGAAAAAACACGAATTGCGGGGGAGTGGGGGGGGGCTTGTATCAAAATAATAAAAAAAAAAACAAACCTGGATACCAAGTTTGGTAATTCTAACTCTTGTACCTTCTGAGATCCTTGCGCTCATACAGACGGATGGACAGACGGACGGACGGACATGGCTATATCGACTCGGCTTGTCACCCTAATACTTTGTGGGGTCTGCCACGCCTCCTTCTGTGTGTTACATAAAAAACTAGTATATCCTTTCACCCTTTGGGTACAGTTTATAAAAACAAACTTAACCTGCCTAGGGCACCTGGATACCAAGTTTGGTAATTCTAGCTCTTATACCTTCTGAGATCCTTGCGCTTGTCCAGGCAAGACGGACAGGCGGACATGGTTATTTCGACACCGCTATATACGCTTTGTGGGGTCTACCACGCCTCCTTATGCCTGTTACATACATTCTCATAAAACTAGTATACCCTTTCACCCTTTGCGTACAGGGTATAAAAAGTGTGGTAAATAAAATTGTGCCTGCAATTAACAGTAAGTATTGGACTTGTTAATTGAATAGCGCTATTTGGAAGGTTTTTGGCTTTTATATAATTAACAAGTAAAAAAGCTAAAGTCGGGTGTCCCGACTTTGAAATACTCTGTACATATGTTTACAATAATTATAGAAAATAAAAAAATTAAAAAAAAATTTTTTGATCGATTTGACCTTTCTCGGTATTCGAACTCACGTAAAGGGTGTATAATTGCACATTTACATAGCAATTGCGTCTGTGTGAGTGTATCTATGCGCATCTTTTCGTGTCTGTGTTAACATGTGTGCAGTTAACCAAAGCACCAGCATCATCAACAGCCGCGGGCAGCGCTTGAGCGGACAGACGGACAGACAGACAGACAGGGCTAAATCGACTCGTCTTGTCACGCTGATCAAGAATATATATACTTTGTGGGGTCTGCCACGCCTCCTTCTGCCTGTTACATTTTTCAGCTCCCTCAAACCTAATATACTTCTGTACATTTCATGTACAGAGTATAAACAGTTTGTCATGACTGACTGACTGATTGGTAAAATCTAGGAAGCTGAAAGTATCCTTTCATAGTGTAGGTGCCCACTAAGAAGATTTTGGAAAATTCGAGCTCCAATGGGGGAAAACAGGCTCCAACGTTTCAATGAAAAATCTACAATTTTCATCTGATCAACTTCAAACTTAGCTTGTATACTCTCAGAAAAATTCCAAGAAACTCTGCATACTTTGTTGGAAATTGGAAATTTGTCTTGGGGCCTGAAATGTGGAAGTTTTGCTGTAAAAACAATGTTGGGGCACCGCGCGAACAGCCCACAGCCCAAACAGTAAAAGCTAGAAAGCTGACATCTGGGCTCACGTATCCTATTATAGCGAAGGTGTGCACTAAAAAGGGACTTTTGAAAAGGCTCGAAAATTACTATATGTGTCTGTATGCCAAGTTTTATCATGATAGGTCAATTCTGAAGCAAGTTATAGCCATAAATAAATAAATGCTTGTAGCTCTTCCCGCAGCGCTGCCCGCAGCTGTTGTTGTTGTTGCTACTTTGGTTCAACTTTGTGCTGCATAGATACACGCATATAAACACGCAGAGACACGATTCTGATGTAAATGTATGCTGTTGTAACTGTACATGAACATATCTCCACTATCGTATATACATATGTATGTATGGAATAATGTAATTTAATTAAATAATTAGAAAAATATACTTTTTTTAATTAATTAAAAAAATTCACTTTTTTCTTTTTTGTGGGAGGTACAGGTTATTTAAAAGTTGAGCTCGCTTGACTTTAGCATTCCTTTGAATAGCATTTTTTTGCCAGGTCATATGGAAAGGGAGCTGTTGATGGGGTCGGAGAAGTTATTAAAAGGGAAATCTAGGAGAAATACATTCAATACTTGTCAACTTAAAAGCATTACTAAGCCCTTTTCATATATATTTTTTTTTTGCTTTAGAAAATGTAAAAAAAAAAAAAAAAAATTGGGTAGAATGAAAACCATTTTGAAGCACATCAATTGTACATTGGGCCAGGCGGCCGATTTTTTTGGCATAAATTCGAAACATGAAGTTAGAGACTTGAAATTTGGTACAGGTGCTTGTAATGACATGTACCGCCCATATTAGTATTATACTAAATAACACTTATATTTATGATGAATTGTTCTTTAACTTACAAATAATTCAACAAATTGAAGGAAAACCAACCATTGCAAAACTCATGCCAAACTTTAAGTATTGCCATTTCTCATAAATTATTTTGTGCTCGCCCCACAGATAGGTCACAATTAATATGATTTTGTATTTGTCAAAACGATAGAGATCATGTGTAAGAAGCAGTATGATTTAACACAAAACATTTTCAAAATCATCTAGGAGTTTTAGGGTTATTATAGTTATTAATTTGGCATTATTACTTTTTCGCACAAAGTTGCAGAAAGTATGTTTTCAATCTACAATAGACGGGCACTTTGTTTAAGTTTTATGCAAATATGAACAACACAAAAAACAAATAGGAAAAAATTTTGTTTCTATATACGTTTTATACATACATACCCAGGCCTTTCATTTACATTATTAACATTTACTTATTTTTCAAAATTAAGAAATTAATAAGAAAAGAAAACTTCGCACCATTTTTACCAAAACGCCTTGCAGATCGAACAACTGACTTTGAAGGGTTATCAATATTACAGTGTTGCATAAAGATCAAAAATATTTATGTTTTTGTTGTAGTTAGGGTATGCGTTTTAAGAAAGTAATATCAAAATAATAATTTGTTTCCATGAAATGTTTGAATTTATGCCAAAAAATCGGCCGTCTGCCCCAATGTGCAATGTGTGTTTAACTTGAGCTCCATTCTAAAGATAGAGCGCATTTATGTGTATGAGTTTATGGCGCAGATATTTTTGTAGGGTTCTTCGTTTGTTAGTCAGATAACCTAAGAGTAATATTTTTAATGGAGGCAACAGAGCTTTCATAACGACCGATATCCTCACGAAAAGAACCTTCTCTCCAAGTGTATGGTTATCAAAAATAATGCAAGAATAGATTGCATATTTAGTTTGAAAAAGTTCTGGTACCAGAAGGTCAAGACTATTTGACAAGTAACATAGGCCAAATAAAAGTATTCCAGAATACCAATGTAAAAAACGAGGAAAAAAAGTTGTTGCTACTGACATCTGTATATATTTGTTGTCCAATCAAGTATATATTCCACATGAGCGCCATTAAGAATACTTTGTTACAGCAATATCTAATATGGAATTCCTCGGAAAAAGAGTCATGTATGTCAAGAAATTTATTAATGACACCTAACAACTGTTTCTGGAAGCGACCGTCCAGCATTTTCAGAAGTATTTGAATACAATCGTATATCTTAAAAATAAAATTGAACTGGGTCAACAAAAATGCAGGGTGAAATATGAACATTCTCTTATTTTTCACAATATAAACAATATATACTAGGATAATTACCGAAAAAAATATACAAATAAGTAATAACACTTTTAAATGTTTCGATGCCTGTTTGTTAATCCCGCGTATGTTGATCTCTTGGAAACGTTCTGTAGCTGCATCATATTCGATATCGTGAATGAATAATAAACGACCGATTATGTATAACTCAACTTTTGAACATTTTTCGATCCTTTCCTTTTTGTTGCTGTCCTCTCAACTTTCTGCAAAGCACTGAATCACAATTATTAGCCTCCACAAACAACCAAAGTTGAGAATCAAGCGTTAACAATTTTGATAAATTTGTTCATTAGCTTTATTGCCTAACATATTCCCTTTAGTCATGTCATGAATAATCCGCTTGTAAGTATAATAAGCTAATAAAGAAAAATTTCAAAATGTTTAATAAATAAATGAAAATGATAGATAAATAAATAAAACGAATAAAATTTTATTTAAGTAATATTAATTTTATTATTTTATATTTTTTTGGGCTTAGGCTTTAAATTTTAGATATTCGAGATCCTTTTTCATAATTTCTGAAACACGAAAATTGGTTTTAGTCAATATAAAAAATGAAATTCAATAAACACTAAAAACTATTTACTTAAAAAGAAATACTTTATTTTTCAAACATCAAATGCTTGAAAATCCGTATACGATCCTTAAACGTTTTAAAATAAAGCAAAATATTTTATACCGATGAATGATTATTAAATGATGATCTAATTTGAATGTTAATAATAGAAACACGATTATCTCAAAGAAAGCATCATAAAACCAAACTTCGGCAAACCAAAAATTCGAATGTTTTCAAACCGATTTGCCATTTGTATAACATCTTTAATGATTTTAATGATGATGATGCTCTTTAAAAGTAAGCTTTATTCTGAGGATCAGAATTTGCCGAATTATCTTAACTAGTGGACCAATGATGCAAGCACTAACCATTAAGAAAACGGGATTGTATATAGCTTCTTATTAATATTTAATTGTACTTTAACAGCGTTGCAGCTGTCTACAATTTTAAATAAAGTGACCACAAAATAAAATGGAACAGGTAGCTTATTAAGCGGAGGGGATAAATATGTTGCTTTAGATGTGTTAATAGTAAGTTGTAATCTATGCACACGTGATTTGCAAACATAATTTATGCTCAAAGGATAGGCCGACAGAGGGAATACGCATTCATAATTTGCACAGAACTCTAAGTCTAAATGTAAATTAAGCTTAAATATTAAACGCTCTCCATATAGACTTCTTCCTCGGCAGCAAAGTCATCGTCACCGCAAACCTCCTCCTCGCAGCCCACTTCCATGTCACAAAAGTCGTCTGGCATATCGAAATACATATCGCTATTATCCACCAGTTCATCGGGATTAGCTTTAACATTAGTAATTAATTCGTCATCGATATCTATCCCATTTTCTGCCTCAACATTGTTCGGTTGCTCTTCTTCGTCATCCTCATCCTCCTCAATCTCTTCATCTTCTCCCGCAGAATCTATGGCCGGCGGTCGCTGCATTATCGGCAACTGCTGTGAATTCATTTGCTGCATCACCAGCTGCATCCGTTGCATATAGGCTTGCTGTTGTGCCTGCCGTTCCGCAGCGCTGCATTTGCCAACTGGGGCTAGAGCTGGCGGCATTGAGACCTGCTTCATGTTGTCCAAAAGCGCTGAATGGTCTCGGGTTACATGAAGCGCCAGATCTGTAGCATCGGCATGTAAAGAACCGCAGACAATGCACACTAGCGTCTCCTTGGGGGGTGATGTTGGCGGCGGTGTGGGGAGAAATGGAACTAGAGTTGGTGATGTGATAGCCTCCACCGTCGTATGGGCCTGTATATGCTTGTTGAGATAAGCCTGTTGACTGTAGGCCTTGCCGCAGATGTGGCACGGAAATGGTTTCTCGCCCGCATGTATTTTCATGTGCACACTCAGACTGGACGCCTGAGTAAAACATTTGTCGCAAAGCTTGCACTGAAATGGTTTTTCGCCGGTGTGGATGCGCATGTGTATATTAAGACTGCCGGACTGGGTAAAGGAACGATCGCAGAGGGAGCAGGTGAAGGGTTTCTCGCCCATGTGGCACTTCATGTGTTGCACCAACTCAGAACTAGCGCGGAAAGCCTCCCGACAGATGGCACACTGATATACCAGCTCCTGGGTATGCATACGCATATGTTCGTCTAGCAAGGCCTCCGCCTTGAATTCCCTCTCGCACTCCGGACACGCAAAACTCTCCACTGGCGTCGAGTGCGTCTTCTGATGCAGCAACAACGAACTGTAGTTGATGAATCCCTTGTCGCATTGTGTGCATTGGTGGGGCTTTCGCACCGCATGCGATCGCATGTGGACCATCAGACTGCTAGACTGGGTGAAGGCCTTCGGGCAGAGTTCACAGGTGTAAGGCTTTTCTCCGCTGTGGATACGTATGTGCGTGTTCAGGCTGCCGATGTGTGTAAAAGTTTTCTGGCAAATGGAACATTGAAAGGGTTTATTCGTGATGTGGGAGCGAACGTGCTTCGACAGATCTCCAGCATTGGGAAATGACGCTTCGCAGTGCGTGCACTGAAAACACTTTTGTCCATTCACATTGAGCTGAGCATTTAGCTGTCCCTCTCCAGTGACGTTGGCCTTGCTGCGACGACCACGCCGGCGTTTAATGGGCGTTGACTCCAATGAAATCATCGATGGCTGTAGCAGAATAATTGATGTAGACTCATGAGGATCTGCCGTTTGTAGCTGAAATTCATTAGGTCTCGGACCAATGCGTAGACCGCGCATTGGATGGGTTGATTCCACCTCCACATAGGCGCCGTTATCCATGTGATCCAATCCAATGTTTTGGCTCTCTTGCGTATTCGAATTGGTGGTGGTGGGCATGGTAGTTGTGCTGCTACTGCTGCTGCTACTGGAGCTTGAGCTGCTGCTATCATCGTCGCTATCGTCGTCGTTATTATCATCATCGTCGTCGGAATTTCCACTGGATTCGCTCTCATCACTATCATCGCTGACTACATCCCTCTGGCTTAGTTCCATATCCGCAGCAACCTCCAGCTCGCAAACCGGCTCAAATATCCAGCTGTAGTCCTTTTCGTCATCTTCATCAAGTTCGTCCTTTGCCTGTTGCTGTCCCGACGCGCCATCTGCATGCTTCTCATTCATGTGCTGATACAACGCCACCGGATGCACGAAGAACTCGGCACAGCAATTGCAATGAAACGTCAAGTCCGGTGGCTGGGGCTTCGGCGGCACTGGCTTGGGTGCTGGTACCAGGAGCGACTGACACATAATCGGCGTAATGGTGAGAGGTAAATGGTGGTAAGAATTATTCAGCTGCACTGCCATATTAATGAACCTTTTAAGCTAAACAACAACAAAAAACAGTTAGGAGCGCGCAAAAATTGATTTTTTGCAATTAGCTTACCTTTGCTCTATTTGCTGATATTTTGTTTTAGCAATTGCAATACTTTTTCTATTACAACTTTTTATAGACTATAGACATTTGATTATTTAACACTTGCATTGTTGCATAGAGTTCAATTCAAGACTCATTAACAATTTCGCGATGTTTAAAAAAACACTTGCACTAATAACAATTAAAAAGTGCGGCAACGGTGGCGTTTCAGCTTATAATTAGTTAATACTTCATTTTAGATTATCTATAAGTCGTTCTCTCCTTTTCCATTTCGTTTGATATTCACATATTTGGCGACGCACATTGTATAAAACAAAAGGGGCTCATTACAATAGTAGCGTCCTTTTTATACTATAGCTGAACATTCTAGTTCACTTCAATGAATTAGTTCAATGTTCATTTTTACCTTGTGAACTACATCAGCAGTATAGTTCATTTGTTCCTTTGCTGATTTTGCTCATAAATATTTTTATAATTTTGTTCAACTTTCTGAATGAAGCACCTTTAAGAAAATGTATACATTAATTTATAACGTATTGTAAAAATTCGCTTGCCAATAAAAAGTCTTAAATATTGAGCCCTTACATACTAAAGAACGTGTGCCAGGTGCAACTAAATACATATGTATATCAATATCATTTGCATAAAATTATTGAATGAACAAACAAATTTAAATGGTAGAATTTACTAGTTTTATAACGTACATCCCACTATAGCAAAGGGCAGCTCAACGACCCGCAGCTTAAATGAAGAAACAGGTTCTGCTTACAAACAATAAACAATGGAGAAAATCAGTTGCAGAATTACAATTACCCACAAGGGTAAATTTTTGGAAGATAAAACTCATCTACAATCAATTTTACAGTGATTTGTACAACATTGGCATAAAAATCTACCTTTTCAAAACTAAATTCGCTTGAAAGTGACATGGCTCACATTTACCCACCTGGAAAAAGTTTTATTAATATTTTTGGTGCAATAATAATGTGTTTTGCAGCTTTATGTATTAGTTAATACTAATTGTTGTTGAAATAAGTGAATTTCAATTAATCAGTAAAATTATCTTTGCTAATAAACATTTATAATATTAATAACTGTATACGAAATCAATTTCAGATGCACCTGACGTCGCAACGGAAATTTGTCAAAAATATAACTTTTTAAGCTAAGAAATTGTAGCGAATTGAAGACAGGCCGGCGATTTTAATAAAGGCCAACGTTCAAATGTTTAGAGGACAGTGCCCCTACCTAATGTAAAAAGGACCGGTTTCTACTAAAAAAAAATAAGAATTTGGAAAATAAAGGATATTGAATAGTTTGCTGGAACAATTTAAGTTCGATACGCAAACATTCACGGAACTATCGGTACATTGTTAGTCATCGATTACGCAGTATCTATTGCAGCGCTACGTGCCGGCATTTCGCGCGTGTATTTATGACAGCTGAAAAAGTAAAAGTATAAAATACAATTATTAAGATAACAGTTAGTCAAATGCATACAATGGCCGATAGCCCATTCCAAAGAAGACGCAGCGGTTTACTACGTGGACCTCTCCACTCCACCGTCAACACTGGATCGCTGTCGGTCACTTTGCTGCCCGAAGAACTAAGCATTAGCGAAAATACGATGATTTGTGACGATGATCTGGATCGGGGTATGGGAAAGACGGACGCGCTCTTCGCACAATTTCTGGAGGTGCTTCACTCACACAATAATGATACTGAGGTTTTTGACGTGGTAGAGGAACTATCACAGTCTTGCCGTGCCGTTGTCGAGCAGCTGGAAATTGAGATTGACCGCGGCGTGGGCGGCGCTCACGGCACCAAGCAACGGGAGTTGAACATTGGATGGCTGAAGCAGGAGATCAACACTTGGCGGCTGCTGCACTCGCTCTATCACGATCGTGTGCTGCAGGGAGACACAGCAGCTGATGACGAAATGCAGGGACCCACACCAGGTGGTAGCGAAAAGGAGGTGATCGTGCAGTTGTATGCCATAAATTCCACATTACGGGAGTATCAAGTAGTCGTTGACTGGTTGGAGATGTGCTATGAGCCGAAGGAGACTGCCATTGCAGCACACTGTCACGATCGCATGATGGCATGGGAGAATACGCTCTTCGAGCTCGAGAAACCAGAGGGGGCTGCCTTTGGACGTGGGCATGAAATTGTTAGACAATTAGACCCTGATGCGCCAGTGCGCGAGAAAAAGCCGTTGCATGCCGATGATGAGGAAGACAACAAGCGTTTAGGACGTGGCATTTTTTCATTCATACGCAAGGGCCGCGTCGATGATGCACTGAAGCTATGTAAGCACTATGGTCAGACTTGGCGCGCTTCTATTCTAGAGGGTTGGCGGTTGCATGAGGATCCCAATTATGATAACCAAGGCATGGCGCCCGAAAAGATGCCCATTTTGGGTAATCCCAGGCGGGATGTTTGGAAGAGATGTGCTTGGATGATGGCCGACTCAAAGAAATATGATGAATATACTCGCGCCACAATGGGCGTATTCAGTGGCCATCTTGGCTCACTTAAGGCGCTGCTCCAGAGTTCCTGGCATGATTTGCTCTGGGCCTATATTAAGGTGCAGATCGACATACGTGTAGAGAGCGAAATTCGTGGTTGCTGCATGAAACGGTATCATCAGCTGCCCGATGAATACTGGAATGGGAAAATGACGCTGGAGCAAATTTTTGATGAGCTCGAAGTGGCCAAGAATGCTGCTGTTCGAGACTATGCACAAAGCCAAATGGGTGTAATACAAAAACATTTAATTCTGGACACCTGTGGAGAATTGCTGCAATACATGTGCCGTTGGGTGGACGTAGGCAAGGACTCAACATTGCCGCCACATCAGTTGCGTTTTATGGCACACATAGTGCTATTTATGCGCCAGATCGGACGTGTGGAGCAGGAACAGTATGCAGAGCGCATTCTTGCTGCCTACGTGGAGGCGCTTATCCAACGCAAGGAGCCACAATTGATTTCGTACTATGCAGCGACGTTGTCCAATAAGCTGCAAGTGCGTTTGTATGCCAAGTTTTTGGAGCAGTTGGATGAGACACGAGCGCGACAGGAGGCTCTGGAGGCAGCTTTGCAAATGGGCTTGGATGTGGAACAGATCACACAATGTGCCGTGGAGAGCATACGTCTAAGCAACAGTCCAGAGAGCGCTGTTCCGCACGCTGGTGAAATTTCAGTAGCGGACAGACGTAAGATTCAGTCACTTGAGTTGCTGACACACCTGGTTGAGCAGCGTGGAGAACTGATATGGCAGGCCAATGCCATGATGCGTCATTTTTTGTCTGCCTCAAAGATCGAGTGCATGCGCGAAATTACCAATATGATGCCCTCCGATGTGATTGGCTCTTTGACAGCCGCCTTTGGGTCACCGGAGAATCTACCGCTGCGTGAGGACTGCAGCTTAAAAGAGTATTTGTGCTATTCGGTGTACCTGACTGCTGTAGACAGATTTAATGAGTGGACACGTCTGCAGCAATGCCGCCCAAAGCCCCCACAATCAGAAAAATCCAATAATTTCACCGAACGCATAGCCACGGAGCACAAAGAGTTGAATTATCAGAGCGATTTGACGCGCTGGGAGCACAAAGTCAAGGAGCTTTCAAAAGGTTAATTTATAAATAGAAGTCTTACTCCACACAAGAGAATAGCGCTTAGGACCTAGACTAGCTACATAAATATTAAACTATATTTAAGCTATTTTCAGTTATTCATCATTTTTAGGTCAATAACATAGTTTGGTCTAATGTAAAATTTAAGTTTGAAGGTTTAAATTTCTGCTTCATTTAAAACTGAAACCTTTTTATTTTACAGTAACCGTCGATGCGCTCTACAACGTGCTGCTTTTTCCCCGCAAAGGCTGGCTAATCGATCCCTCCATCGGCAGTGAACACGACAATTCCGCCGAATTGAATTGGGAAAATCGGCAGCTGCAAATGGAAAAATTACGTTCCATTTGCCTGCCCGAAATTGCACTGCTTCTCCACGAGGTAATGTACAAGTCCGGCGACTACACAGGCTGTGTGCGACTGGCCGATGAGATTGCGGACGAGCGTCGTCAACTGTACAAAGTATATACGCAGCACAAATTGGCCGAGTTGCTCTCGAAGATTGCAGACGCCTCGCTTAAATTGTTGAATGATAAATTGGATGCGTGGGGCTATCCGTTTACAGCGTAACTTGCGGCAAAAATATAGCAAGGATTAAACTGCATTTAGTTTTTAATTTTCATACGATTATTTTTTTTATTGTAAATAGGTGTTTGGGGATTGCTTTATTAGCATTTACATTATGTATTCTTACTTTCCACTTACGACTACGGACTATGTTTGTGTGTGTGCAACTTTTGTTGCATCTTAAAAAGGGGGCCTGCATATGTTTGGCTAATTGCTGGGGGCTTCGTTGGCCACGGGCTCTTCGCACCCATTGCTGTGCTTCAGCAAATATGAAGCCAAAAATTGGATGGGGTCTGTGGGGCGCTCCCGAGCCAATGCTTGCAGACCATGCAGGAGAACAGGAGCCACCGTCTGGTCCAAATATTGCCGCGTAGGCAGAGCGCTGGGATCGGCGCGCGTTGTCGGTGTTGCATTCGGCTTTTTGGCCAGTTGTTGTAGCTGTTGTTGGGTAGCTGCATTTGACGCTGTCCCAGAGCCAGTGGCATTATTGACATTGCAAGCCTGCGTTGAATTGTTAGTTGCTGATGCAGTGGAAGGCGCTGCAGCTGTTGTGCTTGTCGGTTGACTATTGGTAGTGTTGCTGCTGGTTTCTTTTGCACCTTCTGCAGCAGCAGGTGGGGGGAGATTGGGAGGAGCTGTAGTGGCTGGCGCTGCCGCTGACGGTGCTGGTGAAACAGGTGCGTCTACTTTTGTGTCCATTACTGATTGGTTTAATTAATGACGAAAATTTTAGGCGGTCGCGAGCGCAACTTTCGCGCAATCTGTTGTAGTTCATGAAGTAATGAACTAAATCTGCTGCTGAACGATATCGATTTATTTGCCCAGCTGTTGGTTCACAAATTTGTGACTAGCACCAGCAGACCAGTTCCAAAACTGTTCGATATCGATTTATTTGTCAGCTGTCCACTTTAAAAGTTCCAATTCATGCAGTTCCATATTCTGTCACTTTGACAGGCACTCGTAATTGGGCCAAAAAGTGAAAAAATTAATTGCATTTTTTTTTTTAATAAATTGAATTAAGTGACTGAAACTCTGGCCGTTCCGCTGCGCTAAAAATATGACTGAGTTGCTCATTGATCCCGACATACGCGTTTGGGTATTTCTGCCCATCGTGCTCATCACCTTCTTGGTGGGAATTGTTCGTCATTATGTATCCATTCTGATATCGACTCAAAAAAAGGCTGAAATAACCCAAATTCAGGACAGGTAAGTGGCGCAAGGTATAAAGTTTTAACATTTTTATCATCTCGACATTCTTAACAGCCAGGCGATGATTCGTGCACGTCTGTTGCGCGAAAACGGCAAATATCTGAGTGCCCAGTCATTCTCAATGAGGAAGAACTTCTTTAACAACGAGGAGACGGGCTATTTCAAGACGCAGAAGCGTGCGCCGGTTTCGCAGAACTCATCCGCCATGTTAACGGACATGGTAAAGGGAAACTTTATTAACGTATTGCCCATGGTTGTCATTGGCGGCTGGATTAATTGGATGTTCTCGGGTTTTGTGACCACCAAAGTGCCATTTCCACTTACGCTGCGCTTCAAGCCGATGCTGCAACGTGGCGTGGAGCTTGCTTCACTTGATGCCGCGTGGGTTTCCTCTGCTTCGTGGTATTTCCTGAACGTGTTTGGCTTGCGTTCCATCTACACACTGGTTCTGGGCGAGAACAATCATGCGGATCAGACTCAAGCACAAGCTGATGCCATGACTGGCGCTGCAATGACAATGCCCCAGGATCCAAAGGCAGCTTTCAAGGCTGAATGGGAAGCTCTTGAAATTACCGAATATCACAACGCATTGAAAAACATCGATGCGGATATGCTGAACATAGCGGCCGGCTCGGAATCTGGATCATCTAATTTGCAGAACAGCGTACGCTCATCGTAGGGCGATGTCATTCATTGGTTTATTAGAAAATTTAGTAAGCACTAATTTGATATGTATAGAGCTAACTCTTAATTTCGAGTCAGGTAATAAGCTATGTATGTATGTATGTAATTTACTTTGGAAACGAGTAAAGTTTAATTTGCTTTCATGATCCCACATACAAGTATTAAAGATAGTCGCATGTGTTTCGACGGGTTGCTTCCAGAACGGGTACTAAGTACTTTATTTTTATGTATGTTGTGACTTAAAATTTTAGGTTTCGCCTCTTTGTGTTCCACATACACACACACACCCATGCATGAACTAATTTGAATTAACATATTAACAAGATTTAACTGGAAAACTCGAAATATTAATAATAATATTGTTCCTCGGTGGCCTCCGTTTGTGTGGGCGGTTCCTCGACAGGTGGCACTATCTCGGATGATGCCTCCACTGGGGGCGAGGGTGCTTTCATTTCAGATACAGACGGAGGTGCTGGTTTCTCCATTTCCGCTTCTACAGTCTCCATAATGACTTCCGGCTCCGTCTGTTTCACCTCCTCGTGGCGAGTGCTTAACGGTGACGGAGGACGGGCTGTGGCCGACTTCTTGTACTGTTTCTGTGGTTGTTTGAGATCTTTGGGCTTGCCCAACAGACGATAATCATGGGGCAGTTCGGCTTCCGTGTAGAGCTTGTCGGTGAAATAGATGCGTCGAATGCGTACATTAGCATGAACCTGTAAGGTTACAGTCTCTAAATAATTTGAACCGTAGGCGCGACGCGTAAAGTCGGCCAAATTGAATTGTATTTGGTTCCAGCCGGGCGACATGCCCATTGGCATGGCTGTGCAAAATGGCTTAACCGAGGTTTTGCTTTGGAAATTGGACACACGAAAGCGTCGCATAAAACGCTGATCATCCTGGACCTGCCAAATGGATTTTCAGTCTTAGCACAAATCGGTTGCAATGTACTTACCTTGACCTCGAAGCAGAAATACTTATGCATATTCTTGATGAGCAGCACCAGGAAGGGCAACTTAATGCCCAGCTCCATTTTGCAATCACTGGGACAATGTATAAATGTTGTGGACACATTCGATCCCATTACCTCCAGTACCAACGATTTGATGTCCTCGTCGTATATGCGTTTGATGTACCCATTTTTGGTCTATTGGGTAAAGATTTAAGGCTATTGGTGGGAGCTGTGAGAGCCCACAATACTTACATATGTGGACCAGCGCTCCAATGGATGACTGCCCACGCTATATAGTACTGATAGGAAGCCCTTCTGATAGGCTGAGCGATACATGTTTGTTTAAAGTCTTTAGTGTTGTTGTCGTCCTCGCGCTTTTGATATTAAATAAATGGCTCTTTTGTAGAACCGTGTGATTGATTTTACTTATTATATGTGCTAAACAATCTGACATTGAATTATAATGGCTTGTACGCTGACAGTTATAACACTAAGTACTTGTTTAAATTAATTATAGAATGGATTGTAGGTCACCCAATGCGCACGTTCCTGCTCCTTGTTGGTTTTATGGGATGTAAACAGCGACTTATAGACATCGGTGGCTTTCGGATCTTTTGCCACGCTGAAATCTGTCTTTAGACGCTTCAGTTCCGGATCTTGCATAGCATTTGTGGCGCCCAGGCGCTTCGGATTAGCCACAGCTTTCAATTTCGTTCCGTTGTTGTTGCTGGTTGAAGGTTTAGGTGCCGTGTCTGCTTTACTGCTGCTGCTTGGTTCCTCTGTAGATGCTTCCTTTCCGGCAGTTGACGTTATTTCTGTCTTCAATTCTTTTTTATCTTTCTTTGATGACTTGCGTTTGGCCGTGCGCATTTCTAGCTTCACCTTCATTAGCTCTAGATCCTCATCGTTGCCATTGAGCACAATCACGTCCTCCACGCTGTACGGCAGCTGACACAACGGACAAGTGTTCGCTGTGTTGCCTTTGATTTGTTTCAGCGCTCGCTCGGACATAACACAGCCGCAGGTCCAAAGTGCCACAAAGCGAAATTTACCGGCCATCTCGAGACCAATTAGCTTGCAGATGTAGGGCGCATGTCTGGTGTCCAGCAGGCCCTCCGTCTTGTCCTCATCAGTATAGGCAGGGTTTGGCGTCAACTTCAACGTTTTAATATCCTTCATGCTGCGTACATGCGCCGATGTTTCGGGCATTTTCTCCTTTTCCAACAAACGTTCGATGATACTCTGTTTGGAGTATAGACGACCCATGGCGCACATGGCAATCGGCTCCTGCAGACGTTGCTGTGTCAAGGCACAGTGCAGCCAGCGGAACTCCCGCTCTGCGTCCTTGTCTTTCTGCGTGGGACAAAGTAAAAGTATGAGTCAGTAGCAGCGATGATATCTGGTTTATGGACTTACCTGTTCGGGCTTTTGTTTCACACGCACGAGCTCATCACGCCTGGGTATAGTACCACCATCGCAACCCATTTCGGATCAAAAAATGTCAGTTTGTTGGTAAATGATGTGATAAATTTGTCCCTTCCTTTAATTCTGATGCTGCATCTGTCGATAACTTTATACTATTGAACTATTGTGAATGCTAGCTGAAAAACATTGCTTAGGGCTGCCAACTTGTCAGCGGGACCGCCGCTACAACGGTTACTTAAATATTAAGAAGACTTTGCCATGTTGGTTTTAATTCGTCAGATTTTTGTACTCTATTACATATTAACATAGACTTAATTATATAATTAATGAAAATGTTATGAATCTAAAATAGTTATTATGTAACATCCGTAAACGGACAATGCTTTGCATAGGGCACATCAATGCATACGCAGCCACGCGCGCTGTAATAGAATTTATGAATTGTGAGACTTAAATTGTTAGAAGATTGACTGACACATACTTATCGGGCGCATCGTTGCCAATGTGATATTCGCGCAGAAGAGAAACGAATTCAAATGGATTTATTTTGCCACTGACGGGCAGGCGTTTGGGTCCCGACAGATTTACACACCCATTGGGACAAGGAACGCCCAGAAATTTTTTATTCTTAAAGGTTGCATTGGCCAAATAACAGATGCTTAAGAAATGCGAGCATCGAGATCGTCCTGAAAATTAAATTCTACTTTATTAATTGTTATTAAGATACTTTTTTTTGATGAATGCCGAACTAAAGTAAGTATGGAATTGTTGTTTAATAGAAATTCCGAGATCGGGACGCTTATACTCGTAGATAATGTTTTTTTTCTCACTTATGGGGTTGCCTTTGCAGTAGGGTTGAACACGTCCTCCGTTAACGCAATAGTTCATATGTCCTGTATTATCTTCCTGCCCTAAAAAGCCTGCATTTGTGTGCAGCACTTGAATAACGCTGGCATCATCATGCGATAAACGGAAGCGGTTGCTCTTCATTCGTTCAATAAGTGGACGCGCCGGATCCAGACCTGTATACAGTTTGTTTATTTCGATTTTCGTTTAACGATTTCGCACCCATTTTCACTTGCCTATGATGCGATATTGTTTCTTAGACAAGTGATTGCTAATCATGCCGCAAATATGGGCGCCCAGCGAGTGGCCCACGCAGGTGATCTTCTCACGTGAAGCGCCATAGTGTGTCAGAAAGGAGTAAATTTGTGCCGTGCACTGCGCCGTCAGTCGTGTGTTGATTAGCGAATGTACATAGCAGGGATATCGGGTCAAGGGACGCCAATCGACAGTGATCACATTAAAGTCGCGCGACAAATAGGCTGCAAAAATCGGGGGGATTAGGGAAACTCCCATTCTTAGCTGCTTCAACGCCTGCCAAGTCTTGTGTACTCACTAACCATCCCTCAGAAACTGCAAGTGCCGATCGATGGCGGTCCCATTAAAGCCGTGCACTATGAACACCGTCTCGCGCTGTTTGCTGAAACCGCCTTGATACAAAGTCAGAGGGTTCTTTATATTCAGGGGCATGCCACGGCGAGAGGCGTTGCTGCAAAGAAGCATAAAGTAGTTTAAAAACACTTCATAGGATGGACGTAAGAGCAATGAAATACCAAATTTTGTATCCATGGATTATATATTTTCCAATATGGAGACGTACATACGTATTGAGACAAATTTAAATAATAATCAAGGCATCAAGCAATGACGTTTACATTTATCTGTACTGTGACTGTCCGATGGACTGATCAGTAACTGAACTATTGACTGATTAGAGAACATTCATTTTGTGGTTTTTACAATTTCAAAGTTTAGAAAAGTATTTCCATTTACAGCAGAGGTTATTTGGAATAAATGCAAGACTCTAACTCTGTGATCTTACAATTCATTGTTTGACAGGGCGATGTATTAACCGATGTAGTGCATTATGTAAGCATACCGATGGGAATCAATAAATATTTGATTTCAATATAGTATGCCGCACGGTCTCAAATTGTAAACCTAACTATTTGTAACTCAGCAACATAAAGTGTGTATCGGGTATTTCCCGAGGTAGTTCAAAACTAAAACAGAGTGTTCCTATACCCTTAAGTTAAAAAAAAAAATAGTTTTTGATTTTTAGGCAAAAAGTACCATTATGTCTTATCATTATGATACATTGAAGATAGGAAAAAATTTGAGCTTTCTTAGTAATACTAACGGTACTTTTACAAACTTATCTAAAATAAGGAATAACCTAGATGTACCTACATTATTCGTATATTTCTCCAAATTCAAACGACAAAAGCGTGGCGAGGGTTGAAAGTAAAATTTTTGAGGTGCCTTATAATTATGTTAAGCACCTTATTTGTAACTCAGCAACATAAAGTGTGTATGGGGTATTTCCCGAGGTAGTTCAAAACAGAGTGTTCATTTAGCGCTCTTATTTAATAAATACTATCTTGAAAGAAGAGAAGAGTTTTCAATATACGCCAGCCGAGCTAGTCCATATATTTGATAAGCAGTAAAGCTATAAATACTGCAAACCGGATTTAGATTTGTCAGTATAGCGGCATGGCGAGTACGGTGAAGCGCGTTCCCTGCTTTTGCGACATATTTTGGTTTTTTTGTTACAGCGCAGGCAGATGGACGCCCCGAGAATTTCATCCGATTAGCGCAGAAGTGCTAGTGGTTATCCACGGAACAGGTGTGTATGTTTATGGGACCAGCCACAGTCTCGCCTTTAATTGTGATTTTTTTAGGTAAATTGGTTTGCCGCGCAGCGTAAATGTGGGGCTTTCGATGCCGATTTAATGCTGCTTGAAAATCAACAAGAACATGAAATACTAGACAGATTTGTTAAAAAGGAAATTGGACAGCAATTTGAGGTGTGGGCTGGAGTCAATATGGTTGGAACTTTGCTATATTTTGTGGCTGCAAAGAATGGCGCTCCAATGCCGTTTTCGAAAAAAGTAAAATAGCCTGTACTCTCCACAGAAAAGGAATATTTAAATTTAAAAAAAGTTAAATTATTAAAAAAAAATTGAATTAATTAATTAAATTAATAAATACAATTTATTTAATACATACATAGAAGACATGTTTATGTACAGTTTTAGCAGCATGCATTTACATCATCGTGTCTATGCGTGTATGTATGCAGCACAAAGTTGAACCAAAGCAACAACAACAACAACAGCTGCGGGCAGAGCCATAAGCAGAGAAGGGGAGTGATTTTATTTATGGCTATAACTTTCTTCATATGGCATACGGACACATGAGCACTAACTGGATGTAACTATAAAAATTGATTTCAAAATTTGAAAAATTACGGAAGTTATAAAAAAACACAAATAGTGAGGGAGTGGGGGGTGTATCAGAATAAAAAAAAAACTTGACTTATGGCTTATGGGCACCTGGATAACAAGTTTGGTAACTCTAGCTCATGTACCTTCTGAGATCCTTGCGCTCATACAGACAGACGGACGGACGGAGAGACGGACATGGCTATATCGACTTGTCTTGTCATCCTGATCAATAATATATATACTTTGTGGGGTTTGCCACGCCTCCTTCTGTGTCTTACATACATTCGCACAAAACAAGTATAGCCTTTCACCCTTTGGGTACAGGCTATTAAAATCTGGAGGGGAAGCCTGAGACTGTTTATCTTTTAAACAAAACGGTTGCTACAACGACGCAAATTGTGCTTTGTTCTTGCGATTTTTGTGCGAAGCCAGAGAGCCAAAGCCTTGTATGTATTCCTTGGATGTACATTGGGGATACTGAATTATTTATTGAATATATCCGACTGGCTGCCAAATGTTTGGCCAAAATTGATCACGTTAGTTGTACTAAGTTGAGTAGAAGGGGCAATTATGTAAATGAACCAAATAATCATTATTTATTCCATGTATTAAAATGCCATATTCTGATACGTGTATATATGCCGTTATATTCTAATAAGTATATTGTTTTTATACCCTGTACCCAAAAGGGTACAAGGGTATATTAGTTTTGTGCGAGTGCACATGGAACACACAGAAGGAGGCTTGGTAGACCCCACAAAGTATATATATTCTTGATCAGCATGACAAGCCGAGTCGATATAGCCATGTCCGTCTGTCCGTCTGTCTGTCCGTCTGTCTGTCCGTCTGTCCGTCTGTCCGTCTGTCTGTCTGTATGAACGCAAGGATCTCCGAAAGTATAAGAGCTAGAATAACCAAACTTGGTATACAGATTCTCCTGAGACCGAGAAAGGACGAGTTTGTTCATTTTTTCTGATCCACCCCCCCACTCCCCCCCTATTAACGATTTTCTATAACTTCCGTAATTCTTGGAATTTTGAACTAAAATTTGGTAGTCACATTAGGTTAGTTATTATATAACCGTATACCAAGTCTCATTATGATAGAATGATCGGAAAGAAAGTTATAGCCATATAACCAGGCCCAATGCACACATACATACATATGTACAAGTACGCATAAGGCACGATTCTGATGTAAATGTAAATGTATGTATGCATGCATGGAATATTTTATATTTAATTTAGTTAATTAATTAAATTAATTTAGTTAATTAATTAAATTTAATTAATTAATTAATTTAATTACTTTTTTGTGGGGTGGTACAGGGTATTTAAGAGTTGAGCCTGCTCGACTTTAGCATTCCTTTCTTGTTTTTTAATTGGTTGCTTACAATTAAAAAAATATTTTTGATATTATAATCTTATTGAATAAAAGAGATTTTTGTCTACAGACCAGCAAATCTTAAGATTCTCAAGATAAGCAGCATCGGATTAAAGTTCTGCCAAGAAGGTTCTATGCCTTATGATACACCTAATTCTGTTTTACACGCAAAATCAGCAAAAACCGTGTAAAAAAACGTGTAAAAAAAGACATTGATCTTATGCAAAAATACAAGTAGGTGTACTGTACTTTCTCTTGCTTTTTTTAATAGTGAAGTCTGTTATGAGCCGTTGTTGGCCAACTGTTGCTACCATTTGTATTATTCTTTGTAACCACCGATACGAGGATGGTTTCGACTTATCTGTTTGTGAGCTGTATGTGTTTTCATTTATTTGTGCTGTGTTATTTTGAATTGTGCTAAATGGAATAAAATTGTGTAACACAATTTAAAATTTTTTATTTTCAAATCGTGTTAAATCAAAACAAGAATCAGAATTACAGGTTCACCTCCTGTCATTTCTGAGGGTGTTTTTGATTCAGGCGCATTGTGACTACGGATGCCGATACTGCGGCCAAATCAGCTAGAGCTAGAAATATGACATAAAATATAGTATGTTCGATTAAATACTGCTCACAAATCAACACGTCATTCAGCATAATGCTGAACAGTATACAATTATTTGCTCATAAGTTCATTAGAACTGAGTGTATGACACTTTTCTGTTCGGTTATCCTATTAATGTTATCAGTTGGGAAAATATTAATACATTAAAAACAACATTTTAAAAAGCAATTGAAATTGTTGCTGGTTTGTTCTCCTGTTTCTGCATCTGGGTTGTAGAAATGTAGGTTCTAGGAAACCATTTAATTTTAATTTAATTTAGAAATGGTATTATTTTTATACGGAATGGGCAAGTGTCTAGGTTTCTCTAGGGTATTTCATTTTATGGTGAATATGTCCAGGTGAATTGGTATACTGCGCAGCGCAAGTGAGGGGCTTTCGATGGACATTTAGTGGTGTTGGAAAATCAGCGAGAGCTTGAAATATTGGACACATATTTTAAGAAATAAGGGGAGAAATATGTGGTGTGGGCTGGTATCAATGCTTTGGGAAATATTTATACTCTGTACATAAAATGTACAAGAGTATATTAGGTTTGCGGGAGCTGATAATGTAACAGACAGAAGGAGGCGTGGCAGACCCCACAAAGTATATATATTACTAGCAGGTCTTGCCCGTCTTTGCTGGGCTAAGTAAAATGTGCTTACAATTGTAAGTTTATTTACTATATGATAGTCTTCTTTCGACGCTCTCTAAAGTTTTTTAAAGAGTTCATTTTCCAAATAGCAAATATAGTACAATAAGTACTACATACATACATATGTACATATCTTCGTTACGCACCGGGCGGACTGCCAGTCCTGACTTAACTGTGTGCTTCCTCAGCACGTTGTACGCACGGTCGAGTTATCCCCGAAAAGTCCGACGCGGGACATTCAATTTTGATTTATAAATCGGGACGTCCCGCCAAAATTGGAGCGTTAGGCAACGCTGATATGTACATACATTCATGCAGGCGTTATCCGCCTATATACATACATACATATAAGTATGTATTACATTTTTTAATTCAACACTAATTTGTGTTTTCAATTCCAAATATGATTGTTGTGAAAGTAAAAGATGGGTTTCTGCTTTTGTAAATCGCATGAATACACTCACAAAATAAATGACACTTAGATTTGTTCAGAATACATTTGTAGTGTTGTTAGCTAACACTAAAACGGTAAGTCGCTGTAAATATGCGATCAGCTGAGGTGAGAGATGGGCATGTGTCGGATGCACTATGTGCTAGAGCACAAAAACTATCGATAGTTG